TTTTTTTTGGATGTACACCAAAACAACACTCAGGAATATACAATCATTCAAACAACTAAAGGACATACCCTGCAAGTCTGCCACCTAGCAGCCAGCACACAGCCCCTCTCCCTCCATGAGTCAAGAGTCCCCAGGCGCTCCATCTCTCCTTGTCATCATCTCTGCCTCCATCTCTAGCATTGCTGCTTCTCTGAATAGGGTCCCACATTCCACTCTCGCTCTTCTCCCTTTATGGCCCAGGGTCCTCGGCTCCTGGACTGCAAGATCAACCACTCTCCTCTTTCTGTTAACAAAACATCTACCTTTAAATTTGCAACAATTGCAATCAGTCCTGACAACAATTACTCACTATTGAGCAGCAAGAGTCTTATCCCCATGACTGTTCACTAGCCCTGTCTAAACAGGTTGAAAACCACTCAGTGGAGCTTCTACCTTCCCCCGCATCCTCTGAAACTACACTCCCTGTTGAAAACTTGTAAGCCAGTCACTTTGTGCCTTTATTTGTTGTCGTTATTGTTAGGTGCCATTGAGTTGGTACCAACTCATAGTGACCTTATGCACAGCAGAAAGAAACACTGCCCGATCCTGGGCCAACCTCACTACTATTGCCACCCTTGAGTCCATCGATGCTGCCTTTATAGCCTCCCCATTTTAGGTAGCCAATGTCTAAGTTGCCCATCCCTGTCAACCCTGTGTGCAGAGGGCGTGGGAATGATCCTTGCTGTGAAGATTCCTTCCTTGGTTGGTACTTTAAGCTACTACATCCATAAGTATAGGTCAAGTTCATCAAATTGTAGTGGATTACACTTTTTTTTCCTCTTCTAGTCAAGTTCTGATCATCCAGCCATTAAAGATAGGTTAAATGGGTACTATCTGCAAGTGTGGGTATTTTTGTGCATCTCCCCTCACTTCGTATCAGCTGGACCCTTCACTCTCCACTCTAGCCTTCTGTGGCTATGTCCCTGTTAATAGGCTCAGGAGTCCCCAGGTCTCACCATACTGCTGGCCAACCATGTCTTACTCCAGGTTGGCAGGAGTCTATTGAACATGATCAGACTCAAGCTCACATCTTCATTGCTGCTTTTCCCCCACTTCCTCTCATCAGTAGATCAACATGGTCGCCAGCAAGCTTGTATGCCTGCTCATGTATTCCTTTTGAGTTTCAATCTTGGAAGGGGATTTGCCCTGAAAAGACTTGATTGCTTGCGTTGATGGCTCTCTGGCAAACAATTTGTCATTTTTGTTTTTGATTTTTCCTGCTGGTCTTTCTTTTAAGAAGTCTCTTCTATTCCTC